AAGTTTATCATTATTGCTCATTTGAAAATAAAATCAAAATACTATTCGGGTTATCATTTTCATAGGTAGGTTTTGGAAACTCATAAGGGTAATTATGAAACTTACGTTTTTATATTGAATAAATTTATTTAAGAAAATAAATGGTTTCATTGGATGTTTTATGAATTTTTACTACCCTTTAGTTTTTCGTATCGGTGTTAAGTGTGATATTTTTACTAGGTTAATGTAGCTCATTCTCTTATTTAGTCATTTCAAATCAAGAAGATCAAGATCAAGATCCTGAACAGTAAGAGGGTTATGAATAAAGATTACCTCCCGGACCCCATCAGAGTTGTCCAAAATATGTTAATCTTATAGGATTTTTATTTCGTTATTTTGAACTTCCATAAAGGGACATTTCCGTAACCTTGTTGGGTATTCTAATTTACTGTATAAGAAATGTAAATATTAAATTCTAAATTGCTTATGCTTATAATTAATACAATTCGATATTTCTATTTTCTTAAGTTTTGAGCCTCTACAAATATATTAACATAAATTATAAATATATGTTATCTAATGATAAAATTTTAAATATTATCCACTTAAATTTTAAAATATAAAAATAAAATTAATATAATAATATAATATAATTATTTATATTACATAAAAATGAAATATTATCAACTCAAATTTTAAAACATAAACATAAATTTAATATAATAACATACATAATTATTATATATTTGAAAATTTTAAAAATGAAAATAAAATTTAATTTTTAATTGACTACAATTCATACACTTTATAATTTTTAAATATAGAAATAATGTAAATAATATATCATATGTTATAAATTAATTTCTAAAATTATAACCCATGTTACATAGACATCTATCTTTAATTTAGTGCTAAAAAGTCTGAAATTTGTTAATTAATAACAATTAATTAATATATTAATTTATTTATGAATTAATTTAAAATAAACCACATAGATGTTAAAGTAATTAGCAATTATCTTTTTATGTTTAAAGTTATACCGGTGAACGTTTTTTTTTTTCTAAAATTTCATTTCTTTTTCTTCATTAAAAAATTCTATATCTATATTTTAATTTTATTTAATATTTTAAATTTTAATTATTTGATATGTAAAATTAATAATAGATTATAGTTTTAATGCATAATTAAATAAACTTTATTTATATTTTTAAATTCACAACCCTATGTTTTATATTTCCACTTATTATAAAAAAATCCCATAATTATCTAATTTGATTGAATTTTAAATTAAGCATTCATCCACAATAGCACCCAACTTCGTTGTAGAGAAGAGAGGTGAGTGGGGAAACCTCAACACAGTTCATCATTGACAAGAAGAACTGAAAAACCTAGTCTCCATGCAAAATAATCTCTTCCTTCCTAGGGCAACATCTGTTTAGGCTGTGAAGCCTTTGCCAGTAATCGGCGTAGACAGCAGCCTGAAACCATGGTAAGCTTGCTCTGATCTTTCATCAAAGAAGCCAAAATCACAGTCAAGAATGTTTTCAGTGTCACTAAAGCTAGCAGCGAAAACGAGACTCCTGCTTTCCCACTCACTCATCCTCTACACCAACAATCTCCTTCCCTTTTCTCTTGTCTCACTTTCCTTCCACTACTCGACGGCCACGCTTAACCACCAACACTTCGGCCCCCTCAACTTCAATGCCAAGGACGTGGTGCTTTCATTTAAGGAATGGTTCAAAGCCAAAACCCCTACCGCCCCTTTGCTGGATCGAATTTTAGAGATCCTACGAGCCCCCCAGACCGAGGACGAGGAGCGAGCGGCGGATGTAGCGTTGTCCCACCTCGACCTTCAGATCTCCGAGGAGCTGGTTTTGCAAGTATTTTCTCACGCCAAGGGCGATGTACTCTCCTGCCTCAAGTTCTTCGATTGGGCTGGTCGTCAGCCTGGATTCAATCACACACGGGTAACCTTCCACGCCATCTTCAAGATCCTTTCCAAGGCCAAACTCATGTCTCTCATGTTTGATTTCTTGGACAGCAATCTGAAGAAGCAGATTTATGGACAGAAGGTCAGGTTATGCGATATTTTGGTCATGGGTTATGCGGTGGCTGGCAGGCCAGATACTGCGCTCCAACTGTTCGGTAGAATGCGCTTTCGAGGTCTGGACTTGGACAGTTTTGCTTATCATGTGTTGTTGAATGCATTGGTAGAGGGCAGCTGCTTTGACGCTGTGGACATAATTTTCGAGCAGATTTCGCGCAGGGGTTTCGACTGCCATGTGACTCACTCCATAATGATGAAGAGCTTTTGTCGGCAGAATCGGTTGGGGGAAGCAGAGGAGTATATACGCGGCTTGTTGAGTAGAGGGGAGGTTATAGATGATTTTGAATACGGATTGGGTTTTCTTGTTGATGCACTTTGTAAGAAGAATATGATGGAATGTGCGGGGAGGTTGCTTGTAGACTTTAAGGAGTCAGGTTCGGTACGAATGGGGCATGCTTATGGGATTTGGCTTAGAGCTCTTGTTCTTGCTGGTAACTTGGATGGGGCCTTGGACTTCTTGCAGAGGAAAAAGTCGCTGGAAGGTTATATTCCAGATGTTTTTCGGTATAACTCTTTGGTGTGTCAGCTTCTGAAGGACAACAAGCTTACAGAAGTGGCTGACATATTGCTAGAGATGAAGGAAAATCACATTTCTCCTGATGAAATCACCATGAATGCTGTATTGTGCTTCTTTTGCAAAGCAGGAATGGTGGATATTGCGCTGGACTTGTACCAATCAAGGTCAGAGTTTGGTCTCACACCTAATGGCATGGCTTACAACTACTTGATCAGCACTCTATGTGGAGATGGAAGTGTTGATGAGGCTTACCATGTGTTGAAGCATTCTATTGATCAAGGCCATTTTCCTGGTAGAAGGACATTCTCAATTATTGCTAATGCTTTGTGTAAGGAGGGGAAGCTTGACAAGATGAAGGAGTTGGTTCTTGTTGCCTTGGAGCGCAACATTAAGCCTAGTGATTCTACATATGATAAATTTATAACAGCTCTCTGTAATGCTAGGAGAGTGGAAGATGGATATTTAATACATGGAGAGCTCAATAGAACAAATAGAGTTGCTAAAAGGTCTACTTACTTCCATTTAATCAACGGTTTCAACAAGTCAAGTAGGGGAGATATTGCATCCAGGCTTCTCATTGAAATGCAAGATAAGGGTCACCCTCCAACTAGATCACTGTTCAGAGCTGTTATTCGTTGCCTATGTGGTATGGAAAATCCAGAAAATCAGTTCCTCAGGTTACTGGAGATGCAGTTGTCTCATCGTGAACCTAATTGCCTGGTTTATAATTTTTTCATTGATGGAGCTGGATATGCCAGAAAGCCAGAGTTGGCTAGAAAAGTATTTGAGATGATGCGAAGAAGTGGGATTGAGCCATTTCTAAGTTCTAAGATCCTTATGCTGCAGAGCTATCTAAAGAATTACAGAATTTCTGATGCTCTAAATTTCTTTAGTGATTTACGCCAGCAGAGTAGAATTGAGAAAAAACTTTACAATACCATGATTGTCGGTCTCTGCAAAGTAAACAAGGGCGATATTGCACTTCATTTTTTGAAAGAAATGAGGGATAATGGATTGGTTCCCAGCACCGAAAGTTATGAATGCCTTATACAACTGCTGTGTGCAAATGGGGAGTATGACATGGCCATCAATCTTGTTAATGATTTGGAGAAAGCGGGACGTCATATTACATCCTTTATTGGAAACACTCTTTTATGGCATTCTTTGAAAAGTCAAGCTCTCTATGAGGCCTGGCTTCGATTGAGAGATGTTCATGATGAGACATCAGTTTCTTTGTCCCTTGGCCATCTCATTAAGTTGTTTTCTGGTGGCATCAATATAGAGATTCCTATTGAGAAGTTGGAAGCAGAGGTTGAACAGTGCTTTCGGCTTGATATTTATAATTATAATATCTTGTTGAAAAGAGTAAGCATGAGCCATGTTGATCATGCTTGTCAGATCTTTGACCGGATATGTCAAAGAGGGTATGAACCGAATCAATGGACTTATGATATATTAGTGCATGGCCTCTTCAGAAATGGAAGGATAGCTGAGGCAAAGAATCTTGTGGAAGAGATGTTCCAGAAGGGCTTTGATCTGACTGATCGCACCAAACTATTGGTTTAACTGGTAATAAGTAATTTTCTCAGTTCTAGTGTCAAATAACAGCTAAATGGTAAAAATTCGTAGGATGAGATACTTCCCCCCTTACCCCCCTGTGCATGATTTCATGATTATATACAATATCTGGTTTAAAATAATGGTTCTCTTCTTTTGGAAAATGATTTTTCCCACATTTATCACTCAGGAGAAAATACTGATGTAATATATGCACGTTGGCTGAAGTCATTTTCATTAAGTGTTTGAATTGCATTAGATAACTGATGTGGTTCTCAATGTAGTGCTATAATGAATTCTGAACAGTCTAAAAACTATATTTCAAAAGTTGTTCGTGAACTCTTTAATTTTAGTGTTATACCCGTATCGCTCATGATGCAACATCAGTATAGGTCTGGGATCTATGTCTGACACTTTATGTGCATGTTGAACACCTGATCTAGAACTGAAGGTTATATATGATAATATGAAGGATGATGGCTCAGATAGAACTTGAAGAAAAGAACTCAAATGAAAACTCATGTTCTTGTATTAGCGTGTAGGTTTTTTCTCATTTTCACTACAAACATGAATCTTCTATCTTTTTGTCACTGACATTAGAATTTTATGATTTACTATTTGCATCTTACTTTTTTATTCAATTTGGTGATAGAATAATTCAAACTGTATGTGTATATAGCAATCTATCATGTTTTCTAAGCGAATCTATTCGATAGCAACAATTCAATCCAGTTTTTGAAATTTACTTGAGTCTAGTTAAAACCAAATCTAATTAAATTTTTGAATCACTTATGTTTATTTTTACCTGTAAGTTATAATATTTATACAATTTGCTATGAAAACAAATGTTTCTTAGTTATCTATGGTAAAAAAAATTTAATATTTTAATTTTCGATCTTTTCTCTTAAAATATGTACATGACAGAAAGTTTTGTACAATGAACTATGCCTTGAATCCTATGATTTGATTAGATTTATTATTTTTTATTTGAAAAAATTAGTTTTTCGATCGGCAATTCAAAATCTTGGTTCATCAATTATGATATTTTGTAACTAAACATTGTATTTGGTTTTTAATATGACATAGGCTTAACTTCCTAAAAGCGTATATGAATTTGTTAGTTTTCATATTGAATGACTAAAATTATTATCTAGTTTTCGGACTCTTATTGACCTAGTCCTCCTATCTATAACTATGAAAATTACCAAGTTGGACAATTAGACCCATACAACAAACACTTGCCCTCGAGTCTGAACAACACAGGATGTAATGAGAGTGGAGAATTTTGAAAGCATTTGTTCAAATACATGCATTGTTTATCATTCACCGATAGTGAGTGAAGAGCTTGGGAGTATGCTGATTTAGGAGCTTTGTACGAACGAACATGCGCCATGTTTTCCCTTTTAAAGTGAGTATAACCATATGTTGGTCCCTTCCTGTTTTTGTCTTGCTGTAACCTGGAGTTACTTCTTCGCTTCAACATCTTTAGGTTTCTGGGCCTCCTTCCCATCATTTTTCTTTATTTTTTCTGCATAGCTCTTTATATTGATAATGTGTACAGGTTGTAAATGATCTCTCTTTTCCAAGTGAGTATTTCCCTTTCCGTGATGATACATATCTGAGTTTTAGAGCGAAAGGGTGACCAAAGAGAAACCTTTAAAGGATGCCATGACAAAGGAAAGGATCTTTATGGGCACTTCAACGAAAAGAAGCAAGAAGCTATTGAGTTTTTGAGATTGTCGTATCACTTCATAATTCTTTGTAGGACTGTGGATGTGGTTGTGTTGGCAAATTTAGAGGCTCCATTATTGAAGACGAAACAACATTTCTACAACTTCCACCAAGCTTCTTAGCTTGTGTTCCACAACTAACAAGAGTTTGAAAAATAGTGGTGAAGTGGCAATCATCTTTTTCCACTTTTCAGGACTGCTAATTTGCAGCTGACTATAGAAAAAATATTAGTGTCTCTTTGTTTATCATCAACTAAATTATCATCCTCATAGGACACAACCAACCTCTACTCCTGGCATCTCCTCTTTCTGTTCCAATTTGACATGCAGATTACTTTTTTGGGCACTGGTAGCCCATATGTCCAGTAAGTTCACACTTGAAACAAACAATTTCTTTACCTCTGAAAAGAGTGTTAAAAAATATGTCGATTCACGCTTCAATGCACCTCTTGATTCGAAGGTTTCTCTTGAAGCTGATTCCATAACTGGAAACTCTATCTTTCTTAAAATTAGATTTTCCAAATCTTCTTCCCTGTCAAGAGCAGCTTGACACTTTTGAACTATGATTATTGGAGGTTGACAAATTAATCCCTTTTTAATTGTAGTCCTCAGTTCTACTTTAAATTGAGATGTCATATTACTATCTTCTTCTACCAATTATTTCAAAATTTTAATTCTTTAAACTTCTGTATATACTTGGTTATTGACTTCATTACCTTGAATCTAAGGTACAAACTTGTTCGTATATCTTCTCGAGTAGATAGGAGTTTGAATAATTTTTGTGGAGTGGCTTTCATCTCTTCTCATGTTTTAGTTGTAGTTTTTTTATTCTTCTTAGATTCTCATCCATAAGTACCAACATTTTTTTGCGATTTCAATCACTTTGCCAAATCTGACCTTTATACATGTGATTTATCGTATTCATTTAATATATTTTTTTCATTTAAGCCAATATAGGAAGAAATCAGAATCCGTTCTTCCGCCAAAGTCAGCAGCTTTGATTTTTACCTTTTTCATAATATCTCTAGTATTGTTAGTGGCTCTAGAGGTTTGTGCAACTAGAAGGTTTCGAAGTGGTGGAGCTACTTGTCCAGCATGCATTGTTTTAGTTGTTCCAAAATTATATTAATTGTATTTTGCATTGCCTTGAACCTGCTAGTAGTTTTTGCCTCATATTGCATTTTGCATAATATTTAATTCAGCATTAGCCACCATTTAAAAGCTTGAATTTGCAATCTGAATAGAAACACAAAACAATCAAAATTTTTGAATTAGTGTTGAATCCCAGAAAACTGATATGGAAGAGACGTATTGAAATGGTGAACCAGTTTTGTTAAACCCTGTTTAAAAAGTCCAAAGGAGCTTTATTTTGCAGATGCCCACTTGTGGTTGTGTGCTTGGACCCATTACTGGTCCTTGCTTGCCAAAGTACATCAGGACTCCAGAGCTTGACTCACCTGGTGCCCCCTTGCAGATCGGCAGGTAGTGTGAGGTTTTATGGCTGAGACAGCAATTCTGTGGGGCAATGAAACTTCTTGATCTTTTCGAAGTGGTATGTTTTTCCAATAAATTTCTTGGTTGTGAATTAGGTACGAGTCAATTGGAGGCTTCTGATCCCGATGGCAGTGCATATGTCAATTAATGCGCCCTGGTTGTGGTCGATTTGCAACTGGCAGCTGATAGCTGTTTAAGGTTTGCAATTTTCAGTTTTGGGTTTTTTCCTCTTCCAGATGGGTGGGACCTGTTGGGTGTGAGTTTTAGATTTTGGATTAGGAACTTCTAACTCTGATGCCAACTTATGTAGGACAAATTAAGGTTAATTTGCATACTTAGTGATTTAAGGATAAAAGCTCAGATATCACTGTTTTGATTTATTAAACATCGCAACTAAGAAGTCTTTGAGTGTTGAACATTGAGTTGATTACATCACACAACTAAAAAATCGAGAGAATTCTCAAGAATTTTATTGTCAAACCGAATTGTCTCAAAAATGATGTTATAAAAGGTACTTATAGTATTTCCCTAATAGAATTAGATTAAGAAATACTAATACTTATAAGATTAAGGACTACGACTAATGAAAGTACAAGAAACAATCATAATTGATTTAGGAAAAATTAATTAGATTCTAAATAGTTCAATACTAAAATTAAGGAAAAGTAACTTCCTAATAACATAGCTATCTCTCCAAAAAAAAGGGAAAGGAAACATAGCTATATGCACCATCATTAAGAATTAGTTTCTATCTATTATTGCAAAACTGTAAGTAAAGGTGATCAAACCAAGCTAAGTTGAACTCTGGAGATAGAGTTGCTAGATCTCTTGCACAGTGGGAGGCTTCAACTATTTTCACAAAATGACATTTTGCTCCACTTAGCTAGTTTTCATATAGTTTTCATTATGTTTTTCAGACAAATATTATATCTGATGTGGGATCTTGCTAGGGCAAGACATTTTTAGAGAAGATGTGACTTCATTTATTCTTTCTTATAGATTTTTTTTTTCCAATCTTTCTTCTGCGTTCTCTCTTTCTTTTTTATTGAGCAATGAGTGGGGAAATCTTTCTGGATTGCATTGACATCAAGCTCAAATATGAGTTCTATATATGAAAAGGGCCTGAATATATGTTATTCTTGCTTAAACGACAGATCCTCCATGTGGTCCTTAAAGGATTTATTTATGTTTTTAGTTGTTCGTGGTTGTTCTTGTAAATTCCTTTGTTGAAGTTACTGTTATTCTCTTTTAAAACTATAAAGCCGTATGCTTAAACTACGAGTAGGAAGAGAAACATGGGATTGATTTATTTATGTTATTTTTTACTTATAGAGTACTTGAAGAATGCAACCTTTGTAAATTCCTGTTGAAATATTTGCATTTAAAACAGAATTCTAGTACAGCCTCCTACAGGCCAAGGCACATGAGTTTCTTCAGGGATTTTGCTGTTATCAATTCACGAAAGGAAACTGGGAGGGTGAATTATATTAACTTGGCTTCCTTTTCTGTTTTTGTTTTATTGATTTCTTGTTCTGTTTGTGAGAGGATACCTTGTACTTGTTTTTTATAAACTCTTTTCTTCTTATTATCATATTCTTTTTCTAGAAAAAATAATAATTGTGCAGGAAAGAAATAGATGCTCATAATGGAGAAATTAATTTCGAGAAAGCTCTGTTATTTTTTAGGTACCATCCATCTAGCAAGTTAACCTGTGATGGCAGAAGGTATTATGCCTTTTAACAGTTTGTAAATGTTAGATTTCTAATGTCAAATCTAAACGGTTCACTTGATTTAGTATTATTGGTTAAAATATTTTTTCTGAACTCGGTTAAGAAGGATCAAAGTTTGGTGCATTATTTTGAAGCTAAAGCATCATAGAATTTCCTTCATCAAACTTGTTATTGTGCATGGATCTTGTTAATTTGTTATCTTGTATTTTTTGTTTTTTCGCATTAGATTCGGTTATCATCTATTAGCAAACATGTGCTGCCCTTGGTCTTGGATTGTTGAGTGTTTCAGTGTTGTGGGTGCTTTCAATGCTTTCTGTTGCATGCCATCAAGAAATCATGTACAAAAGCACTTCCTCTTTGGAGTCTATTGCTACAAAAGAATGAAACAAGTCTTGGAGCTGATGTGGAGGCCAGGAACCTGTCTGACTTTGCTGTCCATAAATTTTTACTGTGACCTTGTATCATATGGAAAGAAAGAGTTCATTGCACAAGTTAGATGTGTACTTTCTTGATGCAATATACACTTGGATTTTTATACTAAGGGATTTATTAGTACCTTTAGATAAGAATTCTGTATCTTGGAAGTTGTAACATCTACCATGCATAGAGATAGTAGTTATTGTACAGGTAAAGTAGCAATTTTTGGAGTAAGTAGTTATCTGGTGCAAAGGAGGAAAAGACTTTCAGAAAGATTTAGTGTATATAAGGACTTATTAAGTAGCTTAGAAGATTTTCTTTAAAAAAAAAGACTTGAATTCTTATCATAAAATCCTATTATATTAGATGCCATGCTTTTGTGTTTTATTGCATTATTTATACGGGTACCTTAGCATAGTTTTATTCAGCTTATTATGATTATGATTAAATAGTATTTGTAATTTAAATCATTGGGAAGTTGATGAATGGATCTCTCTCTTTACAAGTTTGATTCAGTTCATGTTCATACTTCGGACTATCATCATCTTGTGCCGGAAGGCACTATGGTAGTTTCCTTAAGTCTTTTTACCAGCACCTACAGACGGATTGATATTTTGGAGTCTTTCACTGGAAACAAGTTGGACCAGAGTCAGCCCCTTGTATTGCCTTTCTCGCTCGGGAGGCAGTGTAGCGGAGGATTTGGACATTAGATAACTTGTGGGAAAGTCTAGAATTTGTCTAATGGTTGTTCTCTATGCATCCAAGAGTTTTAGATTCACTGGTGATCTTCTTGCTTGGTTTACTGAGACTAATGCTTTTGGATTTGGCTCTCTCTCCTTAAATCTCACCTGGATCATGAGTTGCTTTGTTTGAGATAAATCATGGGTTTAAAGTGGGATATCAGGTTGAAAAACTCTAAAACCAAACTCATCACTACTATTTTCTTCCCATCATTTTGGCTATTTGGAAGGAGAGTAGTAGAAGAGTTTTTGAGAATTCTGTCTCTTGCTTTCGGTAAGGAGCATTGGTCTAGCAGTCATTTTATTATGTTCAAATGCTACCTCATTTTATATATGTAATAATCAAATTATTATTCGAATTGCTTACAATAATGTCTTTCAAAAATATGCCAACTATACTTGAATCAACTATCAACTATCATTTTGTTTGTCATCATATTATCCAAGGCACTTTGTAATTCAATTTGTATGGCTCTTATCAACCAATAGTTCACACTTTGACCAAGACTTTTTCTTCTAAGCATTTTGAAGATTTTAGTTTCTTGAGTCATATTGGTTTCAAGACATATTACTCTTTCTATATCTAAGCAAATAATTAACAAATCAACATTTTTTTTTTTCAAAAAAGCCTGAATTAAATTTGAAACAGGAATTTTTCTAAACAGAAAAAAAAAAAAAGAAGGATAAGAGTGATTTTAAAATCCAAGTCAGTCAAAATGTAAGAGAAATCAACCGACTCAAATTAACCTAACTTGAAGGTATCAATGAGCATCTCTAATTTATTAAACTAAAAAGGCTAAATATAGGAGTGTTGATCTAATTACCAAAAAGATATATATGATTAAGTCTTATCTCCTAATGATAACAATTTTGGCCTCAAAATGACCCTTAACAAACTGCTTCTTGAATGGCTACCCACACATTTCCCAGCGACATTATTATGATTCACATTCTCAAACCTTATTTTCTATTTTCTACTTTCTTTCTTTCTTGTTTCTGATCTCTTTTGAATCTCTCTTTCTCATGGAAACTCCTGGAACGTCACCTGCAGTCGGGATCTCAAAAAACACGTTTGCCTTCAAAGATATGTGTAAAGTCTACAAATCACTTGTCATGAGATGGAATAATCATGATCATCAACACCATCATCATAAAAGTGTTAGTTCATATAAAGTCGATGCTGAATCCGTACGTCCTCTGATTTATTATCCACTATTTTCATAGCATTCATGCATGCTAAATCTCTAACATCCACACAAACACGAATTTCTGCTATATAAAGAAGTCTGTGTATGCTTCATATGATTCTTTTTCTCTAATTCAATTACTTCCTTGGCATTTTTATAATCCTGTTTTAGCTTTAATCTTTTCTACATTGTATTTGAGCATTAGATCTACAGCATTATATAAGAGTAACAGAAGTTTCTTAGACATACCTAGGCACTAATTTGATGTTTAAATCAATATCTTGTTTATAGTGAGAGGATAAAAATAACACGAGATATATAAGATGACTAAGATTGTATTGTTGTCTTGTGCATGATGAGACAAATAACACATACATATACAATCAATCATAAGGTATTGCTGGAGTTTCTCATCATCCTATGTATGCATATGACTTGAATGTTCAGTCCCTGAATAGCAAATTTGAAGAGGAGAAATTCACAGAAGCTGCAAGTCCTGATAGCTTTAAGCTCCGAAGTGTAGATGACAGCAGTGTGTATAAGAGAAGATCATCTCTGTTGTCGAAGAGTGGAAGTAGAAGGAGCCATACTCCACAAGCTAGACCAACATACTTGTCAAAAATTGGAAGCCGAAATGATATCACCTCTCCGACCAAAGGCTTCTGTTCGTTGTCTAAAAGCACGAGCAGAAGGGAACAGGACAGCAGCCCAACAAAAGCATCATCATCTTCTAGAAGAATTCGATGCGAATCAGCACCAGAAATCCCAGCTAATATTTCAAGAACTGCAAGCAGAAGGAGTACCACCCCCATTGTTTTCTCTCAAACAACTGCCAGGAAGAAGCCTCCTCCTATTGAAAGAAAACTCGATTGCACCATTGAAGAGTTATGCCATGGATCCCTCAAGAATATCAAGATCACTAGGGATGTCATCACAGATGAAGGGTATCTTTTCACCATATTGATTATTTATAAATGTATAAATATTTTTTTTTTTGTTTATGTTAATTAGTATTACTAGTTACAATGATGGTCATATGATGATGATGATGGTGGCAGAATAATTGTGCAACAAGAAGAAATACTGACAATAAAACTGAAGCCAGGATGGAAGAAAGGAACCAAGATAACCTTCGAAGGAAAGGGCAATGAGAAGCCGGGGTACCTGCCAGCAGATATAATATTCTTGATAAATGAGAAAAGACATCCCTTGTTTAAACGACGAGGAGATGACTTAGAGATAGCAGTGCAGCTACCTTTGGTGAATGCCCTCACAGGTTGCACGCTGTCGGTGCCTCTGTTGGGTGGCGACAAGATGACATTGTCTGTCACCGATATCGTGTATCCCGGCTACCTGAAGGTCATCCCGGGCCAAGGCATGCCCAATCCTAAATCACAGGATGGAAAACGCGGTGATTTGATAATCACCTTTCTTGTTAATTTCCCCCAACATTTAACCCATGAACAACGCTCCCTAGCTTTTGATATTTTGAACCACTGTTCTGAATAGTAAGTCATAGGTTTTATTTTAGTTAGAAATTTCTCTCATAATGATCTTGACCAAATATTTCTCATTTATCTAATGCTTAATCTTACGCCAAATACCTGCAGGCAAATACATATTCTAAAAAATGCATAACTGCTTTATTTGAAGATCATTCTTGGTTGAAAAAGATAAGAATGTCAATTCCAAAACTTTGTGAAATGTGATAATTGATTGATAAGTAATCTTCCTAAAACTTAGGCTCAGTGATTTCGTTGAACAATTTTCCGAGATAGAAAAACAAGATGACGCAAGACTAAAAGAACTAACTGTTTTAACCACATAACCAGAAATCATGTAGCAAACCTCAATACCAGGTCAAAATTATAGATAGATGCTTCAAATGTGCTCCAATGGACTAAAGACTGTTCGGATATTTGTCCAAATTTGATTCAGCAGCTCTCTGCAGTGAAAAAGACAGAAGTCAGATTCTAACTGAAAAGGTGTTACTCACTAAAAGAAAATTAAAATTGATAATACTGCAAGTTTATTTCGTAATTCGTTCACACAAAAGGCTATCCACATATGACTTAGGAAGAGTTTCCCGTTGCTCTGGAATTTCCCAATCAGAAAAAAAAAAAAGCGATTGTAAGATGAAATTAGTTTTTGCATCAGATCCATGATATGTTCAAATATTGTTCTTTTGATGCTTCAATCACCTTCAGCTTCAAGTTCAAAAATTTTCGAGCGAAGAAGTTGCATTCTAAAATGCATTTGCTGATAGAATTCCTAGAAACATAATACATCAAAGTAAGTCAGGAGAGCTTCTATTGCAAAATTTTCTCGACAAATTTCTGACGAAAAGCAGAGTTCAATTCCTTAATGACCTTTACAATGCTGAGTTTGTTCCATTTGCCATGAAATATTATAAAGATGAGCAGAACCACTCAAGGTTGTGATAGCTTCATTCCAACCAAGAAGATTGCTATCCAAGGACTCCTGTGACAAATTTTCTGAGAATAAAGTGACAACTTATCTGCTCAGTTACAACAAATGGCAGAACAAAATTATGCACCTTATATTTCTGGATAAACTGGAATAGATATCTTAACCAAAGCAGGAACACTATTACTGATGCAGAATAGAAAGCTTGTAAAGTGAGCATATTTCAGTAATAGGATATATGAGGCAGAACCAATAAAAGAAAATAAACATTTTGAGAAGCTAACTGAAAAAAGTAGAAAGCTTTAATTTCCTTTTCTAAGTTTTGAAAAATTTACAATCTACTTTCCTAATTCTTTCTATTTAATTTATTTTCCTATTTCCTAAATTTTCTTTTTTCCTAATTTTCTATTTTAATTTGTTTTTATATTTACTAAGTTTTCTAAATTTCCTAGTTTTGATGTATTTCGGTGCCTATAAATAAAGTACTCTAATTTAGTCATTGGGTAGATTGTTTATGATTATTACTCATATATTAAGATGTTTTGATCATTGAGATCCAAGTTCTTTTCTTAATAAAGGTTCTCTAAATTTGTATTCAAACTTTATTTTTCCTACATCAATTAGCCTTCATAAACAAAATATACACATATATAGAGGAAAACAAGTTGAAGTACCGGACTAGCAAAAAGAGACCATGTTATTATGCTATAGAATTGGTAATTCAATATTACATTACTTACAAAAGTCTTCCTTCATTCAATGTTTTGTTATAGAGAAAGAAGACCTAGTTTAACTAAACTTTTCAGAAGAGCAGAATATGCCAAAATGAGATTTGGCTGAGAACTCAGGCAAGTCTTCGGAAATTTGGAGACACTACAACCTACCTGCTAAGAAGCAAATCATCATGACGACTTATGAAAATCTGTTGCAGAAACTATGCTTAGACTAAGCTTTTGAAGAACTCATTTGCTGCTTTCTATTTGCATCTGAAAATTGGTTTGACGGTAGATGCTGCACATTATGTGTCTGAAGGAACAAGCTTAATATACCAAGTGTCTGTAACATTGATTAGTTCATCTATCAAGTACATTGAAGGACTGATACTCTCTTTAAAGCCTTGAATTTAATGGGATGGGACGAAAATTGAAGCAATGATAGGAGAAGATAGATATAGAGACAATATAAGTAGGTGGTGTTTGCCCAACTAGAATTCAATTTATTTAGAAAGATAGAGAAATTGAAAACAGATAAATTATCTGTTGGGATCAAAATCATTTGCTCAAAACCTGAAAAATCTGAATCATTCATTAGGAATGATTGTATCTGACAACATAAATAGAAGACAGAACAAAAAGGCCAATGAAGAAAGAACTTCCATAATATTACATTACAATTTTGGACCAAAACCAGTCACCATTCTATTTATTAAAAATAAATAAATGAAACCCAAGAAAGCAACAAAATCAAGTAGTAAATTTCTTATTTGAAAACCTCCAGAGATTTAACAAACAAAAAATAAAAATGGAAGCTTTAATAAAACAATCACAAAGAATTGATGAAAACAAAGACCAAAAAATGCAGCAGAATCCCCACCACCAAACAAAAGCGCCCATGCTCTGCTGCTGCAGCTGCTCCAGACTTGAGCCTGATGCCTTTCTTGTTGGCCTTATGATCAAAAGTCCCCGTATCATTGACCACTACATCAGCCCCCACCATGATCTTCTGCCTCTTCGTCTTCCAAAATATGATCTTGAACCTCACCTGCGTCGCCAAATCCACCCGGAAAACCGCCGTACTGTTCGGCCAAACCGCCCGGGAAACCGCTCGCCAATTTGTCTCCACGTTACCATTCTTCTCCGCCTTCTTCTTATGCCCCTGACGAAACTTGGGTATCGTATAGTTCCCTATAACATGGCTCCTGTTTGGGAAGTCAAAGAAAGTCAAATTAACAGAATCATAGAAAACACCCTTGTCTTTGTTGGTGTTGTCAAGCCTAACCATGAAGTAAAGCGTGTGGTTTCTAGTCGAGTTGAGGGTTTTGTTAAGTCCAGGAAGATAGAAGTACTGTATGGAGCAAGAAGGATTTGAAGTTCGCAGGCTTAACCACATGAAAAGAGCAGTTAGCCCAAGAGTTAATATAAAACTGCAACAACACCGGCAACTTCCGCCGGATTCTGCCATCTTTTCCGGTGAACCCCAGAATGGTTTTTCCAAATTTAACAGAACGAAAATGGAGTGGTTTCTTACTGTGGGTGCATAGAAGGAATCAGCTTTGCTTGCCTGCGTCCAGTAATTTCGCTTTAATAAAAGATCGAGGAGCACATGTTCTTGTCTTAAAATCTTCTCTGGCTTTGGGGAATGATAAAATCCACACGGGTCATCTGTAAATGAAGGACTTTGACTTGGTCGGTTGACTATATTGTCCAATCATATAAGGTTGGTCAGGTTAGTAGGTGCAAGAAGGGGTGAGAAAATCATTTATTTTATATTACGTTAGAAATCTTTGACATTGTCAAACTTAAGGACGTTATTAGCATAGAACATGTCTTGAGGAGTTAAAAAGAGTAGAAAGTTTGATGGTGTGGGGCTTTGGTCTGTTATTTTCAGCGAATCTAATACTGTGGTCAGTGCATGCATGATATATCCTTGCAAGTACACTACTTTTATATTTATGATTTAGTGTTCTATTTTTCTTTCTATATAATTTGATATTTACATTTTCAAATTGTTAAACAATATAAATCCATATTTATTATCTACATATTAATTTTTTTAGCAACTGTTTTGCTCATTTTTAAAATTATTAATATATCACATAAGAAATTCTTGATATTAAACTCATACTTAATTTTAAAAATTTAGAGTTTAAATATTTATAATATAAATAAAATATTTCAATAAAGATTTAAAAGACATAACGAGTTATATAACTATAAAAACATCTAATGTGTTATAGTAAGTAGCACTATTTTAGGAGAAATATGTTGTCATATCTTAAATACATAGCATGTAATGTATTTTTTTTCCGTAAAGAGAGACATTGTTAGTTGGAAGTTGTATTTTTCCATTTGCTAATAACATGTGACACAACTTGACATGATATCATATCGCTATGATTCCCAGCCAGAATAGCAATCCCAGGACAAGTGGAAAACCCACAAGAAGTTGCCAACTCGCCGGTTATTTGCCGCAAACTTGTGGACCCCCTTGTAAGAAAACCCATAAGAAGGTCGCATGCTGCATACATTTACGAGCTTGTGGGCTTAAGACCTAATGAGCTAGGCCTTCTTGAAGTCAACTCACACCCACAGCCTAATATGGGACCCATAGAGGCTAAATAGATTGGCCTAAAAGGCCCAAGATAAGAACCTGTAGGGCCATGGATCATGCCATTAAGGATCAAGCCAAAATGGGCTTGGAAAGCCCAACCCAAGAAGAGAAGAAGGGCTTAAGCTTGCAGTCTATCTTGAAGGACCAAGATGGAGTTTGGCTGCTGCCCAAAAGGGCTAAAAAGAACTGGCCAAGAGCTTCTGCCCACCGACCAAAACCAAAAGCCACCAAAGGAAAAGTGGTCTAGCCATAAAAGGAAGTTTATTGTTTATGAATCCAATGAAGATGAGGAGAGTGAGCAATTTGGTTCCAAGAAGAGGAAGGAAGAAGAAGACTCCCTAAAGCAATTAGCCAAAGAATTCCCAAGTATAGTTGAATTCAAATATCAAGAAAGATAAACAAAGAAAAAAAAAGATTTTCATCCACATGAGGAGACCATTCTCCTACGTACATCATAAGTCCTAAAACAAGAAGAAATCCACATCTCCATGGAAGAGTACAAGCTGAAAAAGAGGAGTTTAAGTCTTATATATTGGGTTTTAAATTAATCATATGGGCTTATATGTGTAAATTATTGTGCATAAAAAGCTACCAAATTAATTGGGTCAAGTTAGAAGTGATCTGATACAATTAAGGATATATTTGATATTAATGTATCAAATTAAAGTGTGAGTTTTATTTTTATATATAGAGACCAAATTTATAATTTCTAATTTCGTAATGGGTCAAATTAAGAATATATAAAATTTACAGGCAGAGTTTATCTATAAATAGACAGTTATAGTTCTCAAATTACATATAAGGTTTTTTTATTCTGATATCTCATAATCAGAAATAGATAGTGTGTGAGAACTCAAAAGACTATGTGTTAATTTGGAAAATCTACCACAGGACATGCAGATTTCTTTCGCTATAGATTTGATACACTTCTGCTACAGATTTAATTTCTTTAATTTTATATGTGTTTGGTTATTTAGATTTCATATCTATTTTTAAAATTTCTACATTATACACTCAACCAATGAGAAGAAATAATAATTCAATATCATATAGAAACCCGAAAGCATCTATAGTTCGACCAAAGAAGAATTTTGCATGTTGAAGACCTCTTGGAGGATCCTACTTCACATCTATATGACTTACAACAAAAACTCACTCAAAAATCATCAAGAACAAGAAATAAAAGAAGGGTGATGAGTTGGAGTCCAAGTAGGAGTGCATGTTAAAAGAGGAAAGACAACTTCGACTACAACAAGGAATAGTACTATTTTTAATTAAATTAATTATTTTATTTATATAAGTTAATCTATTAGATAGAATTTAATTATTTAATTATTTATGTATTTATTTTTTAGTTAAATTAGATTTTATAATTTTGATATGAATCCTAAATCCTATTTTAAATAGAAATAGAAAATAAAAGTCTATATAAAAGCTTAAATTCAAGTTTTGTAATCACAATTTTTGAGAATTAATAAAATTAAAGCTTTAATCTTCTCTTCAAATTAGCTTTTGCTAATTTTTAGTGTCTTCAAGTTTTTCGAAGGTAAGGAGCTTGCTGAAGTCTTGTTAAGGCGAAGAGTTAGGATCAACTTATCGGATAAGTCGTAAAATTTTTTTTCTCGTTATAATTTTTCTAATTTTTGTTTTTGCATGTCATTTAAATGATTGTAGATTCAAGTAAAGTAAGAGGTTAAATAGGCTATTAAGTTTCTGAATTGCATGCGTTAGGATGAAGTTCTGAGAGTCAAAATAATTATTCTCATACCCTTTTCGCATCATTGCTTTTGTAACAAATAATTTTTATAACATTCAATGCACCAAAATGAGCTTAAAGATCCAGAATCTCTTAGGATTTGATAAAAAAATATTATATTTGTGATTAACTAGGATTAAACCTTGGTAATTAATTTTTTTTTTAATAACATAATCAAATATAGAGTGATCTTTTATCAAGCTAAAAAAGCAATTAATATTTTTTTATAGACAAATAAGTTATTTGACATACCTCAACATATATAAATGATTGCTCTTTCTATACACAAAGAAAAAAAGAGGAATCTTTGGAATGCCATTTTACTTAATATTTTTTTTTATTTTCTACATTCTTAATGCTAACTCCTTTTATACTTAAAAACTAAATTTAATTTTTCTAAAAATAAATATTCGATAAGATTTTAGTAAATTAATAAATTTTTGTAAAAGAAAAATACTCAATATATTGACAAGACACTATATGCCCTAGGGGGCTGAATAAAGGTTTAATTCATTTTATTTTATTTTATTTTCAATATTTCTTTACTTTCTACATGTTGTTTTTTTTTATATTTTTTATTATAATAAAGTATAGGAATCCTTACTTCTTCTTATGATTAGTTCCTTGTTCACCTAAATAATAGGTGCTCATTTTTTTATTACGTTAAGTACCATGTGAGAAATTTAGATCACACCTTTATATTTTATGATTTTTAAAATTATTAAGATTAAGATGATAAAAAATATGAAGTGATCGTTAAAAAATTATAATAAATTAGCAATTAAAATTTACTATGACAGATAAATTTATCGTATACTACACTTAGTTACCCTTATTTTATTATGGATATTAAAATTAAATTTAATCCATAAAAGATATGAGACCTCTCATTCCATTAGCTAGAGATGACAAGACTTGCTTGAACCTGTATGATCCATCGAGTTTAAACCCAATCCGAGTCAATTTTTTGGAAACTAATTAAGTTCGATCCAAGACGGGATACAAATTGGTAGAAAATGATGATTGAGGCGGTGGATGTTTGGATTGAGCATTCCCAAATTCGTTTAAGCCACACATGCCTTATATACAATATTTACAAATTATATTTTCTAAACCAAAAGTTTAGTAGTTTTTCATTCTTTATTATTTACCTTCCAAATGCACCGCCAAATAGTCCAGCTTGAACAAGTAGTCTCTTGTGCTTCATTATTCGAATTTCCAAATACACCACTCATTCCCATACCTCCAATAATCCAACAGCCAGCCCCTAGCCTCCTCCCAATCGTTCTTCATTCTTCTTCATTATTTACATTCCGAATAGATTATCACCCTATAGCAGTCCAACTCCTATGCCTTGGCCAACCTCTTGTACTTCATTAATACTTTCCAAATACACCACCTATCCGTACGCCTTAGCCAACCTCCTCATTTGCTTTTATATTTGACTTCTAAATGCACTTTCAGCACCCAACTTCATTCTTCATTAACCTCTCATCCTCTATCTAATCTTCTATCGTAGACCATGCAACCACTCCAACAACTTGCCATTATCAGCTCTGTCAGCACCCATCAGCTCTTCTTCCATTGTTTGACTCACATAAGGTTAGTTAAGCTCTCTTCTTACTAATTATTTAATTTAAATATTTATTTACCAACCATCATGATACTAGTTAAGAATAAAGTGCATAATTAATTGATGAAATAAAAACATTTGGGAAAATAAAACATCAAAATAAGTGTGTAAAATTAGGTTGCAATGAAGGATAAGTTAAGGGAAGTATAAGTGCAATATTCCAAATTACAAGCATACACTATCAAATGTACAGAAAAGTGAATACACTTAAAAGTAGATAGCGAATAATAAAATAAAATATTAAAGGTGAGCAAACACTTAAAAAATAGAAATTGAATATAAAAAATGAAACACTAAAGGGGAGCAAATAAAAAAAAAAAAAGGATATAGCAATAATAAGAATCATACTTAAGCATTTAAGGTAACGAACTATTAACTTTAGTGCAGGAAACAATTTAAATAATTAAAGAAAACAAACAAGTGTAGTTAAACACTCACCACCACCTTATTAATTGTCCTAAGTACTAATAGACTTGCATCTTTCACTCGATGAATAAAAAATGAAGATATAACATTGACATAAATTAATAATGATGGTACGAATAAAAATATATTTTTTTTTTTTTTGACAATTCTTTCAATTAGTCAATGTTTAATA